ATCACGTCTCCAGCATCACCTCCCCAGCATCACGTCTCCAGCATCACCTCCCCAGAATCACGCCCCCAGCATCACCTCCCCAGTATCACGTCCCCAGCATCACCTCCCCAGTATCACGTCTCCAGCATCACCTCCCCAGCATCACGCCCCCAGCATCACCTCCCCAGTATCACGCCCCCAGTATCACCTCCACAGTATCACGCCCCCAGCATCACCTCCCCAGTATCACGTCTCCAGCATCACCTCCCCAGTATCACGTCCCCAGCATCACCTCCCCAGTATCACGTCCCCAGCATCACCTCCCCAGTATCACGTCCCCAGCATCACCTCCCCAGTATCACGCCCCCAGCATCACCTCCCCAGTATCACGTCTCCAGCATCACCTCCCCAGTATCACGTCCCCAGCATCACCTCCCCAACATCACGCCCCCAGCATCACCTCCCCAACATCACGCCCCCAGCATCACCTCCCCAACATCACGCCCCCAGCATCACCTCCACAGTATCACGCCCCCAGCATCACCTCCCCAGTATCACGTCTCCAGCATCACCTCCCCAATATCACGTCTCCAGCATCACCTCCACAGTATCACGCCCCCAGCATCACCTCCCCAGTATCACGTCTCCAGCATCACCTCCCCAGTATCACGTCTCCAGCATCACCTCCCCAGTAACACGTCTCCAGCATCACCTCCCCAGTATCACGCCCCCTGCATCACCTCCCCAGCATCACGCCCCCAGCATCACCTCCCCAGTATCACGTCTCCAGCATCACCTCCCCAGTATCACGCCCCCAGCATCACCTCCCCAGTATCACGCCCCCAGCATCACCTCCCCAGTATCACGTCCCCAGCATCACCTCCCCAGTATCACGCCCCAGCATCACCTCCCCAGTATCACGCCCCCAGCATCACCTCCCCAGTATCACGTCTCCAGCATCACCTCCACACTATCACGTCTCCAGCATCACCTCCACAGTATCACGCCCCCAGCATCACCTCCCCAGTTTCACGTCTCCAGCATCACCTCCACAGTATCACGTCTCCAGCATCACCTCCCCAGCATCACGCCCCCAGCATCACCTCCCCAGTATCACGTCTCCAGCATCACCTCCCCAGTATCACGCCCCAGCATCACCTCCCTAGTATCACGTCTCCAGCATCACCTCCACAGTATCACGTCTCCAGCATCACCTCCCCAGTATCACGTCTCCAGCATCACCTCCCCAGTATCACGTCTCCAGCATCACCTCCACAGTATCACGTCTCCAGCATCACCTCCCCAGTATCACGCCCCCAGCATCACCTCCCCAGTATCACGTCTCCATCATCACCTCCCCAGTATCACGCCCCCAGCATCACCTCCCCAGTATCACGTCTCCAGCATCACCTCCACAGTATCACGTCTCCAGCATCACCTCCCCAGTATCACGTCTCTAGCATCACCTCCCCAGTATCACGTCTCCAGCATCACCTCCACAGTATCACGTCTCCAGCATCACCTCCCCAGTATCACGGCCCCAGCATCACCTCCCCAGTATCACGCCCCCAGCATCACCTCCCCAGTATCACGTCCCCAGCATCACCTCCCCAGTATCACGCCCCCGGCGTCACCTCCCCAGTATCACGTCTCCAGCATCACCTCCCAGTATCACGTCTCCAGCATCACCTCCCCAGTATCACGTCTCCAGCATCAACCTCCCCAGTATCACGTCTCCAGCATCACCTCCCCAGTATCACGCCCCCAGCATACTCCCCAGTATCACGCCCCAGCATCACCTCCCCAGTATCACGCCCCCAGCATCACCTCCCCAGTATCACGTCTCCAGCATCACCTACCCAGTATCACGTCCCCAGCATCACCTCCCCAGTATCACGTCCCCAGCATCACCTCCCCAGTATCACGTCTCCAGCATCACCTCCCCAGTATCACGTCTCCAGCATCACCTCCCCAGTATCACGCCCCCAGCATCACCTCCCCAGTATCACGTCCCCAGCATCACCTACCCAGTATCACGTCCCCAGCATCACCTCCCCAGTATCACGTCCCCAGCATCACCTCCCCAGTATCACGCCCCCAGCATCACCTCCCCAGTATCACGTCTCCAGCATCACGTTCCTTCCAGGGGTCCACACGCAGGATATTAAATTTTATTATTGTGGTCCATAAACCGGATCTTGGGGCACATCCATTTTTACCCCCACCCCGAAAAAAAAGACAGTCATACATGTTTTATCGTTGATATTGACTCAGGAGGCACGTATGAGCAATGACTGGTTTAACAGGTATAAAACCTGTCGACTTTCACGAGAGCCATTAAGAGTACATACTGTTTTCACAGCTAGTGAAGAGAGTTTAACTTCTGTTGTTGTACATGCTCCGTTGTTGTACATTCTCTGTTGTTGTACGTGCTCTGTTGTTGTACATGCTCTGTTGTTGTACATTCTCTGTTGTTGTACATGCTCTGTTGTTGTACATGCTCTGTTGTTGTACATGCTCTGTTGTTGTACGTGCTCTGTTGTTGTACATGCTCTGTTGTTGTACATGCTCTGCTGTTGTACATGCTCTGTTGTTGTACATTCTCTGTTGTTGTACATTCTCTGTTGTTGTACATGCTCTGTTGTTGTACATGCTCTGTTGTTGTACATGCTCTGTTGTTGTACATTCTCTGTTGTTGTACATGCTCTGTTGTTGTACATGCTCTGTTGTTGTACATGCTCTGTTGTTGTACATGCTCTGTTGTTGTACATGCTCTGTTGTTGTACATTCTCTGTTGTTGTACATTCTCTGTTGTTGTACATGCTCTGTTGTTGTACATGCTCTGTTGTTGTACATGCTCTGTTGTTGTACATTCTCTGTTGTTGTACATGCTCTGTTGTAGTACATGCTCTATCGTTGTACATGCTCTGTCATTGTACATGCTCTGTCGTTGTATATGCTCTGTCGTTGTACATGCTCTGTCGTTGTACAAACTCTGTCGTTGTACATACTGTCGTTGTATATGCTATCGTTGTACATACTGTCGTTGTACGTACTATCGTTGTACATACTGTCGTTGTACATTCTGTCGTTGTACATGCTATTGTTGTACATACTGTCGTTGTACATTCTGTCGTTTTACATACTGTCGTTGCACATGCTATCGCTGTACATATTGTCGTTGTACATGTTATCGTTGTAAATACTGTCGTTGTACATACTGTCGTTGTACATACTGACGTTGTACATTCTGTAGTTGTACATGCTATCGTTGTGCATACTGTCGTTGTACATAATGTCGTTGTACATACTGTCGTTGTACATAATGTCGTTGTACATACTGTCGTTGTACATATTGTCGTTGTACATACTGTCGTTGTACATACTGTCGTTGTACATACTGTCGTTGTACATACTGTCGTTGTACATACTGTCGTTGTACATACTGTCGTTGTACATACTGTCGTTGTACATACTGTCGTTGTACATACTGTCGTTGTACATACTGTCGTTGTACATAATGTCGTTGTACATACTGTCGTTGTACATACTGTCGTTATACATACTGTCGTTGTACATAATGTCGTTGTGCATACTGTCGTTGTACATACTGTCGTTGTACATACTGTCATTGTACATACTGTCGTTGTACATACTGTCGTTGTACATACTGTCGTTATACATACTGTCGTTGTACATACTGTCGTTGTACATACTGTCGTTGTACATACTGTCGTTATACATACTGTCGTTGTACATACTGTCGTTGTACATACTGTCGTTGTACATACTGTCGTTGTACATACTGTCGTTGTACATACTGTCGTTGTACATACTGTCGTTGTACATAATGTCGTTGTACATACTGTCGTTGTACATACTGTCGTTGTACATACTGTCGTTGTACATACTGTCGTTATACATACTGTCGTTGTACATAATGTCGTTGTACATACTGTCGTTGTACATACTGTCGTTGTACATACTGTCGTTGTACATACTGTCGTTGTACATACTGTCGTTGTACATACTGTCGTTGTACATACTGTCGTTGTACATAATGTCGTTGTACATACTGTCGTTGTACATACTGTCGTTGTACATACTGTCGCTGTACATACTGTCGCTGTACATACTGTCGTTGTACATACTGTCGTTGTACATACTGTCGCTGTACATACTGTCGTTGTACATACTGTCGCTGTACATACTGTCGCTGTACATACTGTCGTTGTACATACTGTCTTTGTACATACTGTCGCTGTACATACTGTCGTTGTACATACTGTCGTTGTACATACTGTCGTTGTACATACTGTCGTTGTACATACTGTCGTTATACATACTGTCGTTGTACATACTGTCGTTGTACATACTGTCGTTGTACATACTGTCGTTGTACATACTGTCGTTGTACATACTGTCGTTGTACATACTGTCGTTGTACATACTGTCGTTGTACATACTGTCGTTGTACATACTGTCGTTGTACATACTGTCGTTGTACATACTCCCGAGTAAAGAATTCATCGCAGTTATCGCAGTTATCATGTTTTTATTTTATTTTTTACCTAGTGGTGTTTTTATCACTTTCATTATTGTCTTTATTTCCATTAACTTTGATTCCACCTCACTAAAAATGTTGTATAATTTGCCTAAGTTTTGCTTCCCTGGTTCCAGTTGTTTACCTCAAGATATAGACAGATATTTTGTTAGCAATTGAGGCTCCAGGTGGGAAACTAATTTTTCAGGCTGGGGGCAAAAGTGAGTTTTCGGCTGTAACATCATCCGTCATCGGAATCTAAAATTGCAATAATGATTTTTAATATTTGTTTTACTCTTATTTTAGATTCTGATGATGGATGATCTGACAGCCGAAACGTCACTAACAAGGAAATTCAATGTCCACTGAGATGGTGCTAGGCACATCCTTGGTTCTACTTTTTATATTTTAGATTTTTTTTTAATTTGTCGATATTGCAAATAATTGAATTTGATCTTTGATCTCCTTCACCCAACAGGCAGCAGCAACCGTTGGGGTGCCGATCACTACGTCCCAGTCCATGTTTGACCTGACCTCCGGGGACCCCCGCCGCGGCTTGCTCAAGACCAGAAGGTCACCGCCTTCTAGGTCTACTAGTGAGGACTCAGGCAGGAACCACGAAGCTAAGGGCGCCACCGCCGCCGCAGGCTCCGCGGCGGATCAGGGATCACCAGCAGGTCAGAGCTCTTCGGCAGGTCAGAGCTCTTCGGCAAGTCAGAGCTCCTCGGCAGGTCAGAGTTCTTCGGCAGGTCAGAGCACCTCGGCAGACCAGCAGGACTCGGCGGCAGGCCATAGCTGCGTGGACACAGAACGCTTCACAACCACGGTGCAGATCGAAGACCAGAGCCGTGGCCGTCTCGTGGACTACGCTTGCTGAGGCAGGGAATCCGGGAGAGATGATCTCCTCGGAGTCTCTCCCGACCAAGACTCAGAAGAGATAGCAAAATAAAAGCTATAATCCGACTCGTGGGATCAACACACATACACACACACACATACACACACACACACACACACACACGATCTGAGTGTGTGTGCGTGAGTGTGTGTATATGTGTGTATGTGAAGAACACTGTCAGAAAATTAATCTTGATAACATTCGGAAGAAACAATAAAGTTCTATTAAATGGAACAATTTTCACGAAGGTTCATGAAAGAAGGTTCATGAAGGTTCATGGAACCTCACAAGGACGAAAAGAAAAACACTTACGAGCAAAGGTGTGTGTTTAGAAATAAATTGAAATAATCATGTAAGAAGAACTTATCACTTGAAGTCAGTATAGTGGTCTCCTGGGAAGGTCTGTTGACCAGTGGGTCAGTGTACTGGTCTCCTGGGAAGGTCTGATGACCAGTGGGTTAGCCTAAGTGGTCTCCTGGGAAGATCTGTTGACCAGTGGGTCAGTGTACTGGTCTCCTGGGAAGGTCTGTTGACCAGTGGGTCAGTGTACTGGTCTCCTGGGAAGGTCTATTGACCAGTGGGTCAGCCTAGTGGTCTCCTGGGAAGGTCTGTTGACCAGTGGGTCAGCCTAGTGGTCTCCTGGGAAGGTCTGTTGACCAGTGTGTCAGCGTAGTGGTCTCCTGGGGAGGTCTACTGACCAAACAGAGCAAATATTATTGTGTGCTGTCTCTCTCTCGTTCGAGAGATTCATTATCAGAGAAAATATAGTATTGTAATAATCACAATTACCTTTGAGCCTACCTTCCTACCACTGTCATCATCAATCATCAATCACCATCATCAGTCACCATCATCAAGCACCATCACAACATTTTCACTCATTGGCAGAACGTCCACAGTTCAGACACATTCCCCATCATATTCAGAACATAAAACAAAATACACGAGGGAAAAAAAAGCACTCAAAAGCATTTCCAAACAATTAGAAGCGAGCACTTGTGAACACTGGCAGAGTTGTCGAGGCCAAAATTACTTTGATCGCCTCCGTCGGGCGAATAGAGAGGAATGTGCGTGTATATAGTCAGCAGATTGCTGATCAGTTTACATATCATTCTCGCAGTCCTTCATTATGACCGGCCCCCCCCATCACTCCATCATCCTCACCCCACTCCGTTACACCATCAACCTCACCCCCTCCATTACTTCCCTCTCTCCAACACAGGTAATGTCCTTCCACCTCACCTTCGCAAAAAGAGAAAAAATATGACTTTTTGCCCCATATCTTGCTCGCCTATTTATTTTCGAATTCCCCAGTGGGTGTAGAAAGTGATAACCTGCTCCAGCAATCAAGTCGATATACCGTGAAGAAAACCCGCAACACAACCAT